GTCATTCATTTCTTTAAATTAACTCATAAATGTATAAAATCATAAAAATGAGTTGTTACATTCATGTAGCCTAGTAATATTAGATAACACGTCTTTTAACTTTTTTTTTTCTAGTTAAATACACGTTATAAACCTCTGGAATTGAAGTGTTTCTAGTAATTGGTTTAAAATCAGGATTCAAAACGTTATTTACTACCCAAATTTCCTTGTACTCAACATAGCTAAATTGAAGATCATGCTTAACAAGTGCATATCGGTAAATTTTAGAGTCAAATTCATTACTTCAACAAGCTAACCTCATTATCAAACATAACTCACACATCATGATAATTTGGAAATATACTACATTTAAGAATATCTCATCTTAAATTATTGGTCTTTAAAAACAAATGTGACGACAAGAATAAAGATAAAGAAGATGACAAAAAATAAATAAAGATTATGTTTATAGTTTATTATTCTTTTTAAAATTATATATATATATATATATATATATATATAACAATTAATTCATTGTACTTATATTTTCTAAGAAAATAATATTACTTTTATTTTATTGTAAAATAATTATTATTTTATAAAACGAGCTAGACCATAAGACTACGAACTAGCTTGACCTAAATATGTCGGTCCAAAATTTGTCTTGTTCTATTTAGGCCATAAATTTTTTGGCCTAGACTGGCCTATTTTTCAGGCCTTTCGGACAGGTTCATCGGGTTAAGCCTATTTTGACACTCCTACTACCCGTTATCCAATAAAGACCTAAAATTCTCAATAATAAACCAAAATCCCCTACACGATTAGTTACAAATGCTTTTTGACAAGCATTTGCCGCAATAGGGCGGGTAAACCAAAAGCCTATTAATAAATAAGAACACATTCCAATTAATTCCCAAAAAAAATAAATTTGTATGAAATTCGAACTAGTAACTAATCCCAACATTGAAATATTAAAAAGAATCATATAACCAAAAAATCTCAAATATCCTTGATCATGAGACATATAGTTATCACTATAAATAAGAACGAGAATGCCAACAGTAGTAATTAATATTGACATAATAGAAGTAAGTGAGTCGATCAAGTACCCAAACTCTAAAGAAATATCATTATTTATGGTCCAAATATCCATATCCTAATACATCAATAGTCTTCCTATTTAACTTCTTCCAATCTTCTTCATATTTTTTTTTTGTTTAACACCTTTATCCTTAATTGAATCTTATAAATCTTTTTAAAATAATAAATTTTCTATTCGAGATTTTTATATTGATTAATTGGAAGAATCCAACTCAATCATGATTTCAACACCATCACCATCTCTTATATTCAAAACAAAAATGAGAACGCCTAATTGTTTGGAGAGATAACAAAAATATAACAAGCAAACACAAAATCAAAAATATTTTTTTCCTATTATTTAAGCTAACTTATATGAAACTACCTTAATTATTACATTTTTTTTTTCTGTTGGCTGACTTCTTTCTTTTTTCTCACTAGAGAGGCACATAACATAACTTCTCTTTATTCTATTCTCAAATTATCTTAAAAAGCTTAAATACAAATAAAAATACATCCTATGATGGGACACTAGTGCATAAAAGATGATAGGTTAAATTTGTAAATATATAATTATGTATATTTAATAATTATTAAATTTTGGGATAAAAATTATAAATATTAATAAAAGTTACAAAACTTTAAGAATAAGATGAGACAAAAATCAATATTTAAATAATATTTAAATATAAATATTATTTTTTTATTTCTTATACATAATAATTTATAATAAAAATTTATAAAAATATATTATTTATAAGACTTTCTACTAATTTAAATATTAATAAATACTTCCTACAAATTTAAATTTATAGAAAATAATTTTAAATATTTACCAATGTTTTTAGATATTTTTTCAAAAAAATCATAATTATTTCAAAATAATTTATTTCAGATACAGAAAATAATATATATATATATATATATATATATATATATAATTAATATATTTACAGTAAATTTGATAAAATAATTTCCAAATAATTTTTTAAGAAAAATTTGCAATTAATTTTTGTTGATATTTTTTCAAAAAGTTCAAAATTATTTTTTATAATTAACTATTTTTAGAAAAAATTTACAAGTATTTTTTGTAAATAATTTTTTGAAAAAAATATAGAAAATGAATAATTTTTAGTAGAAAAGTGACTTGTATTTGCAAGAGATATATGTGAATAAATCTCTAGTAAATTTTCATTGAAATTATGAGAGAATGGTTATTAGCAACTTCATATTCTTTTCAATTTGATATTTGTTATAAATTTGCTACCGTTTAACTATAATTGTATGTTATGCAATTTAACTAGAAAATAACTTCGAAAAGTAACATAACTAATATTTATAGTGAGGGATTAGTGAAAAAAAATTTACTAACTAAATTGTTTTTTTTTAAGTGAGTGGATAAGTAGAAAAATATTAATCTTTTAGATATTTTGCTACATATTTGTTACAACCTTGCTCCTTCACTATTTCATCGCTAGTTAGGTACAAATTAGTGAAAAATAAATTTAGTAGCAAATTTTCCTAACTAATTGACAAATTTCTTGTGGTGTATATATTTCAATATTTATATATTAATATTTTTTAATAATTATATATTTTAAATATTGATATAATTGGATACTTTTATATATTTCTATATTTAAATTTTAATATATTAGTATATTATTTTTATAATATATATATATATATATATATATAATTAGATATTAATATACTTATATAAACATATGTTAATATTTATAAATTGACATATTTTAAATTTTTATATAATTGTATATATTTATATACAAATATTAAAAATTACTAAAATTATTTGATTTGTTATGGTTAAGTAATATTAAAAATAAAAGAAAATTATTTTACATTTGATTCATGTGATTAATTAAAAATAATGTTACTCGATATTAGACAATATTTACAATAAGATATTAGAATAATAAAGAAATAATACATAATTGAAAATTTATTTATTAAAATGATACACATAAAGAAATAATACATAATTGAACATGATATATGAAATATTCTAATTTTATGGACGAGTAATATTAAGACACATTCTTTTAGTGTGAATACGTGACAATACGATCAAAATTTTGAATGAGATTGACTTTCCGTGATAATCATTTTTGTTCTTATGCGACTTGACTTTGAACAACCTTTTGAAGTTCTTTTCGTTTATATAAATTGGGCTCAAAATTGGGTTAGTGTAAAATGATCAATAATCTTCATTCCTTAGTTATCTGGATAGTCTGTCATAAACCTTACCGACTTGTGCTAAGATATATACAAAATTTATGTAATTGATAAAATCATAATATATGTGTTTGCAAGCAACAATAATGTGTGTTTGCAAGCAACAATAACGTATGAATAAGATAAATGAAGTTTTTGGAACTTACTATAGTCACACCATGATTAATTTGATTGACCTATTAGTCTGATTTCTCTTGGATTGAATTTTTCGCTATGTGCAATAATGCATGATATGAAACCTATTTATTGTGTTAGTCACATCTTGTTTCCTTTTATCATTTTCATCTTTGGTATAACATAATAACAATGTTTCAGGGGTATAGAAGTGCATCTCGATCAAAAACTTGGACAAATTCAGGATCAATGTCATTTATGATGAATTGAGATTTGATAAATTGTTTGGGTGAGTTGTAGGTGAACCGGGTATGTTGGATGATAAATTCTAATGTTGTTCTTCATCTGCATAATTAATGAGGATGTCATCTTCGTCATCACTAAAAGGGTCAAAAGTTTTGGATGAAAGCTCTAGTATGACATGTTTTTCCATGGTTAGGTTATTGGGTGGGATTGGATGAGTTTGTTCAAAAGTGGGGTTGATCCTTTGAGAAGTTGTGTGTATATTTGAATATATGATTCTCAGTAAGTACTAAACGAAGGATTATTTTGTTTTAGGTTGTTTGATACTTAAGGATGATAAGAAGATTCAAGTTATGAGTGATATAGTGGTTGATGTATATACGAAGGTGAGAAAAAAGATAATATAATATCGGATTCAGATGAATGGCATTGAAATGTAACAAATAACTCTATGTTAGTTGATAATATCTCAGATTTAGAAATGTCAAACATGGTGTTGATGTCATCATCAATGAGTTTATCAATAATGTACTTACATTTCTCGTTTCGAATTAGATTATTCAAAAATCGAATTGGATTATTCGAAAATCGAATTTTTACCCTACACATAAAATATATCTATTTTTGATAAATAAAGGAGGATTGAGTTATTTAGGCAAATAATTATTTGTTAATATTATTTAAAAAAAATCACTAAGAAACTTTATTTTTTTATTATTATCAATGTTAAAAAAATGAATTATTTACTTTCTTCAGTGTATTTTTGATAAACAAAGTAGGAGTGAGTTATTTCGGTAAATAATTATTGTCAATATTGTTTTTAAAAAAACACTAAGAAACTCTATTTTTTTTTCTGATTATCGATGTTAAAAAAATGAATTATTTACTTTCTTCTTTGTTTGTCGAAGAAAAGAAAAGTATGTTCTGGTTGTGTACAAGACGTCTTTTGGGTTGAAAGGGCATTTGTGTTTAGTTCCGCGGTCTTCGTTTGACTGACACAAGGATAAAACACTGTTGAAAGCAAGCGCGTTGGTTACTTCCTTGTCGTAGAAACTTAGTCCCTAAGTATCAATTGTTCACAATTGCATATATCTCTCACTCCAAAGGCAAGATGAGGGTTCTTTCTCGGAGATCACCACACCCTCACTAATCACTTACTCACATCTTTCTGGTTTCAGTCTAAAGTGTAAGTTCATTTCACACCCTGCATCTCTTTCAATTTGGTTTTGGACCTTGAACTTGATCCTTTGACTCTAATTTAATTGAAGCACGAATTTAAGATTTCGTTCATTTTTTTTTTGTTCTGCTATATGAATGCAGTTTGCATCATGAGCTTCTTGAGGCCTTCTGCAATGTACAACTTTGTAACAAGTTATCCTGCTCTGCGATGGATGGCATGTCAGAGTTGGGGCTTCCTTCGATGGCCGGGTCTTGACGGATTCTTTAGGCTTTTAGTAGTTGGACTTCTCTGGTCCACGTTCTCTGAGCTGCGCTTCATACCCTCATCTTCTATGTTCCCCACCCTTCGTGTTGGTGATCGAATTATTGTGGAAAAGGTGCACATAATCAGTCTTTTACCTTGTTCCTTTTCTGTTTCTTTCCTTGGTTCGCGATCTACCGCTATGCATAATCTCAGAGTCTAACGCAGGACTAGGATTTGGAACACTATCGCTGTTTTGGTTATTCTTAGGACTAGAACAGTATATCGGGAACTTGATGTGCCAAATTGAATTTACATCCAGATTCATATCTAATGTTAAGATGCAACAAATTGACTGAGATGTTTCATTAAAATTAAGCTGTTTCGAGCAACAAACTTCTCCCATCAGATATTTTAACCTTCTAAAATCGCCTTATTGCCTTATTGGGTTAAAGCTTTCCTTTGAATAACTTACGTCACTGAAATTTTCGAAATGGAATAAGTCTTATCTCTATTTTTCTACTTTTCCCCTCATTTTTAATATTTGAATTTTCATTATCTTTTATTGCAAATCTCCCCAGGTTTCATATTATATCAGGAATCCTTCTATACATGACATTGTAACATTTAAGGATCCAACACAGGTATGTTGCAATGGTATAAAATCTGTAGCCTACTCGCAGATCTCCAGTTCTGTTACATTATTGGTTTTCTATTATGCAGTTATTTGGAGAAAACACAGAAGCTGTTTTTATTAAGAGAATTGTAGCAAAAGCAGGAGACACTGTTGAGGTATAAATGTTTCTAGAAACTCCCTTCTATTTGTATTATACTGATGTCAAGTCTAATTTGAAATTTTCTAAAGCCAAAACTGCGAGTACACATATCCACACAAGATTCATGGGCATGAAAAATTCATTTCTAAGTATACTATCTTTGAAACTGAGGCTCTGTTTTGTTTCTTATTATTTGTTTTAGTGATTTAGTCTACAATGCAGACTAGCCACAATTTCATGTGCTTTGACAACCATTGGTAATAAACTAATTCAAATTATATGTTTATGACCTGACAAATAGAAATAATTTGTTCGATGAGCATAGGGAAATAGCATCACGTATTTTCCTCACTTGAATCTTCCATCACCTTGCAGATTAATCATGGGACACTCTACATCAATGGTGTTGCTCAGCAGGAAGATTTCATAGCAGAGCCACCAGCATACACAATGCCATTAACTGTGAGATCCCTGCTCACTTTTATGGTCCTTTTTCATTTTACTTTAAATTCAACAAATATTCTGTGTGATTCATTGATCACATTAATGAACATGATTGTGTAGAAATTGGCAATAGGACATTAATGAGTTAATTTATTTGTGAATTATTCAAGCTCAACTCATTAAACTCAAAAAGTTAGGCGTAGACTATTTAAACGAATTACGTTCAAACATGATAGGATTCACTTTATTAGTTTACAAATAGCTTGTTTATGAATATATTACTAACACAGTGGTAATTTTATTCATTATATTTCTTTGGAAACTTATAATTTTATTTTATGTATACCATTTATTTTTACTTTCAAGAGTCATATTCCTATAGATGTGGTATACAATTGTGAGCGTAAAAGCTTTCTGGCTTAACTTAAAAAGTTCCATGATATCTGATTAAAGATGGCCCCTTTACCTTCAACTGTTCAGTTCATTTTTTTTTTCCTATAAACTCAAATGAGTGATTTAATTCTATATTTATTTGTTTATTGATTCATATTTTTCTTTTCCTTTACAACTTGTGTCCTTGCAGTATGTGCCTAACGGCCATGTTTATGTGTTGGGGGATAATCGTAATAATAGTTATGATTCCCATGTGTGGTAAGTAACTACTCCTACATGTTACTGACTTTCATTTTTCCTTTTGCATTAATTTTATTTAACCTTCTGGGAGAGGTGTGATTTTCTGAATATTTTGGTGTATACTATGACTGATCTGTTTTCTAGATGAATTTTTGCGTCAATTCTTCTCTTTAGCTTTGAGGATATATCAGTCTTTTTCAAGTGAAACGAAAATATGGTTTTATGGAAGCATTTGATGTGTACATAAATGTGAAACACTTAGTGCCAATTTATTAAAAAAATCTGTATTCTTAATATGATGAACTTGGTATTAGTATCTCTTACCTCTTGTTCATCTTAAAACCTTACCGTCTGTGATGATGAATAGGGGACCACTTCCTATGAAGAACATACTGGGAAGATATGTCACTTGCTATCATAGAGCAACAAACATTTGACACAAATATCATCAAGATGTACTGAAAGAACTGGTGCCGTTTTCTATGGTCTGACTATGGGACAACATTAGGACATGTGATTTCCGTGAAGAGGTCCCTTCAGCTGTTCAATGAATGATGCACCTGCACACCTTTTGGCCACTCTTTATGGGATTGGATTCTCATATGCAGGTAGCGAGGCTTCCCACATTCAGAGCAAGAAGTGAATCTTCAGAAAAAATGTAATGTGATTTCTGCAAGGTTCACGGTTAGTTGAGTGACATTGCATATCATTTGCTAGACAATATTCTACTAAATATCTAAGTCTCATTAACAGTATTTGCAATATCTAGTATTAGTTGCAATCAGAGAAAATTGTCAAACTGAAAAACAAATCTTGTTTGGACTTTGGTCATTCTTAAGTCCTGTTTGTCTCGTGGCAAAAGCAGGAGGCAGAGTCCTAGTTGCTTTCTCCCCATGATGGATTTTACCCTGTCCATGTTTGAGCTCACTGAGCATAATAAGCTTTTGGCAACGTCCCTCCATTTGTTATAAGCTGAAAATATTACAATTGAAATGAAAAGTATTCGTAGGTGGTTTTCTTGTCTAATATGCTATTCGGATGGTCCCTATTTAACGGGGGTGGAGGGTTATGTTGCTCTCCACCCTCGTTTGTTGTTCTCCACCCTCAGTTTGTTTGTAGAATCTCAAGAGAAAATTAAACTTTCAAAAAGATAAATTTGACTTTGTCATGACAAAAAAGCTTATTTTTTATCATTAATTTTTACTGTAGTTATTTTAAAAATTGAAATGGTTCTAATTTCTAATTGATTGTTGGTGTATTTTTCTTATGTCGGTGTATAGATTTTAAATCAACAAGTTTATGTATACATCTTTCTTTTAATACTACTCGTGCTTGATTATTTGAGCTGTGAAAATTCAATAACTTGTTAGAATGAATTTAACAAATTAAATAAATTAAATACTTGTGAAAATATATTTCATAAATTAATTAATAAAAATAAAATTTGGGTTGGAACATATTTATCTTAGGAATCAGATTTTTCCTAGCACCAAAGCCTACAAGGCTCACTCACTCTCTTTGGTCTTTCCATCATAGAATGAATTTGGAGATCGGACATGAAAATGTCTCAAAACAAACATAACCATCCAACCTATGCAAATTGCTATCTGCAAGACAGAACGTAGATTGTTGGAAAATTCCGATAGTACATATCTTTTTCATATATGCCCAAGACAGCGTAACAAATATACAAAGAAAAAAAAGTATTTTGAAATAAATTTGATTTTTGGTTTTATTTTTATAAATAATTTCAATAATCAATTTTAAAGAATTTATACTTATAGTTATTATATAAAAATTATTTTAGACAAAAAATAATACAAATTATAATAAAAAATCATGAAAGAAGATGGAAGACGACAGAAAATATTTTATGACAGAGGAAAGTGAACAACATAATTCCATGGTTAATTCACCGGAAAACATGACCAAATCATATAACTACATATTGATTGTAATTTTTCTATAATTATGTATTTAGTTAGTTTGTACACTTCTGCACATTGTTAATTTTTTTTTTTTTTTGCAAATATGCTCCAAAATCTCATGTATATTAGGCATAATTTTTTTATTATTAATCATACAATTAAATGTTGTTAATATATTATTTTACTAGCATATCTAATCTTGGTGGATGATAGAACATTATCTTATATTCAACCAATCCTATTTCTCTTCTTCATTTTTAAAAGGTATCAAAATAAGCTTAGTCCAATGCATAGTCTAAGGACCCGAAAAATAGGTTAGACTAGACCAACAAATTGAATCATGTCAATCTTGATCCGACTTACTTAGGTCGGTCTAAATAGGTTTAGGTCGAGCTAGCCCATAGGCTTATGGACTGACTCAGTTTTATAAAATATTAATTATTTTTACAATAAAATAAAAGTAATATTATTTTATTATAAAATATATGTATAATAAATTAATTTGATAATATATTTTGTTATATATATATATATATATATATATATATATATATATATATTTAGAAAGAATAATAAACTCTAAATATAAACTTGGTTTGTTCTAATCATCTTTTCTTATTGTTGTCACATTTGCTTTTAAGGACCAATAATTTAAGATGATATATTATTAAATGCGATGTATTTGTAAATTATACAGGAGTTATGTTGGATAATAAGACTAGTGTGTTGAAACAATGAAAGTTTTGACTCTAAAATTTATCGAGATTCACTTGGTAGATAAATGCATTATTAAGTATGATATTCAATTTAACAATGTTGAGTATGAAAGAGTTTAGGAGGTAAATAAAATTTTGATTCCTGATTTTAAATCAATTATTAGAGACACTTTAATTATAGAGGTTTATAACGTGTATTTAATAGAAAAGAAAAAACTAAAAGATGTGTTATCTAATATTTTGACTTCGAAATATAGATAATAATAACTCCTCAAGGCTACATTGTAACAACTCTTTTTTATGATTTTATAAAATAAAATTTTGTACAATGGTATTTTATAATTTTATTTTGTTTGAATAGGTTATGAACTAATTTTGAATAAATAAATGAACAATATATTATTTTCCCAAACAAAATTTAAAAAATTATATAAATAAAAAATTATTTTTAATTAGTTAAAAATAGTCCGTTGACTTAACATAATGTCGATTAAACCAAAAATTTTAGCCTCGTTTTAAAATATAGGTCGATTAGGACATTAGATTTTTTTAATTGATTTGTAGAGCCAGGCCAAATTGGGTTGAGTCATCCGTTTTGATAGCCTTAACTCGAAGACCCTAGTTTTATTTTTTACCTCTCACATCTCACTAACCAAATTTAAACGATTTGGAATTATGATTGTTGTCTCTCTCCCGTAAAGAATAAGATCTTGTTTGTCGATGGTTCCCTTTCTAGACTTGTTGTTGATCATCTACTTATGTTGTATGGATTCTTGGGAACAATGTGTTAATCTCTTGGTTCTATAATTCTCTTTCACAATATATTATAATAAGTATATTGTTTACAAATATAATCAAAGAAATTTGACAATTTGAAAATAAGATTTTCTAGAAAAAAAATGACCCTTAGATATTTTAACTTAGAATACAGCTTTATGTCTTTTCAACAAGTAACTATTGACATGAACACCTATTATATTAAATTGAAGTCAATTTGGGATGAATTATCAAGATATAAACCTCTTTTTACTTGCACCTATGATGACTTGCAACATCAAGACTACAATGAATCAGAATATGTAACGTCTTTCTTGATAAGATTGAACAATTCTTTCTTCTAAATATGTGGTCATACTTTTTATCATATCCCTTATCTCCATCAATATTGTGTCTTCTTTTGTTTTTCAAGAAGAAACACAACATAAATTTGGTTTTATTATAGTTCCTACTCACTTTATAAACTCTAATAATATAGTTACCCTTATTAATTCCTCTAACAAATCTTTTGTTGCTGATCATAATAAAACCAATAAAAAGAAAGCCAAAACATGCAAATTATGGTATATTAGGTCATACAAAGGATAAATATTATAAATTTGTAGGATATTCTCCTAACTACAACTTTCAGAAAAAGCAAGCTCATGTTGTAAATCATGTTCCTGATAATTCAAAATCTTTTACTTAGAACATCTTTTAATTCATACTGAATGACAACAATTAATCTATTTTCTAACTAATCAAATGAAGCCTCACAATCATGTTGTTGCTAGTCCTATAAATGTAACAGGTATTTTGTAGGAACAGTAATTAATTTACTAATACATAATAATTTTGATTATAAATGGGTTACTGATTCACGAACCATGTCTTATATATGTTGTGATAGAAACATGTATCATTCATATACTTCTTTATTCAATTATCGTGTTATATTGCGTGCTTCAACTAAAGTAAAAATAGAATAAATAAGTAATATTTAATTGAATGATGACATTTATATGCATAATATGTTATTCATACCATAATTTTGTTTTAATCTGTTTGATTTCTTAAATTAATTAATGAAAACTAGTTTCAGTTTACTTTAGAATCTAACAGTTTTGTGCTCCAATGTCTCACCACAATGAGGAGGATTGACACTTCTAAACAAGAACATGAGTTCTAGTTTTATATTTTCCTAATTCAATTTTTACTTTTAATTCATGTAACCTTGTTTCATATGATACTTGACACCAAAGTATAGGCCACTTCTTATTAATGTGTACAATTTGATTACTAATAAAACTATTATATCATTGTTTCTTATTTTCATTATAACACTTGTCAATTAACTAAATAGAATAAACTTACTTTCCTTAAGCCTAATCATTTTAGTCCTATTTTATTTGATTTATATGCTGACATTTACGGATCCTTTAAGAAATATACATATCATGGTTTCAAATAACTTTTTTAACCCTTGTTGATAAGAAAAAAACAGTTTACTTGTATTTTCTGATTGAAAAATAAATTTGATTGTGTTGTAAATTTATATCTTACTTTAAAACTCAATTCAATAAGACTATTAAAATATTCAAGTTAGACAATGTTAAGGAGTTTACTTTCATTGATTTATTCTTTATGAAAGATATTATTCACCAATACTTTTGTGTAGAAAGACCACAACAAAATAGTGGGATGAATGAAAATATTTTCACATTCTAAATATTGCTCATACCTTAATGTTTCAATCTAATGTTCCATTAAAATTTTTGGGGCATGTATCAAAACTATTGTGTTCCTCGTGCATAGAACTTCAAGTTTAGCTTTGCAATTTAGGTCTCCTTTTGAAATTTTGTACGATAAAATATCTAACTATGTTAATTTGAGGAGTTTTGGCTCCTTATGTTATGCATCTACTTTATTATCCATGAAACAAATTCACTCATTATAGATTCCTTCACCTTCCCAACAAACTATCTTCGTTTCTAGAGATGTAAAATTTTTTGAACATATTTTCCCATTCAAAACATCATATCAAACAATTCATGATATTAATAATACAAATCCTTTTGATACTCCAAATATTATCAATTCATATATCTTAGATGATGTTGATGATTATATTGCTATTGTATCTTATATTACAACTATTCCTCACATCACCGCTCAAATTTAGGACCACCTTCGTCTTAGAATATCCAATAGAGATACCAATCATTCTAGATTTCTAAATGATTATCATTGTTATAATGTCACATATTCTTTTATCACTACATATTTTATCCAAAATTATCTTGATTATTCCAATCTATCTCATTCTTATTGATAGTACATGTTAAATTTGTGACATTTTAAACAAAAAAAATTATGCTCAAGCCATCAAAACACATATCCTAGCGAAAAGCTATGACTGATTAATGAGTAATAATGGAAGTTAATAATATTTAGGATGTGATGTCTCTTCCTCTAAAAAAACTATATACTACCGTGACTCTTCAATAATTTGTCATGTGATTGTTTCTTAACATTGACATCTAGCTTAACTAATTTTTTTTTTTAATTGTA